GTGTGTTGATTATTGCTCCTGTTATGCAAATATGTTTCATTAAATTGCAATACAACTTACCATGTGAGTTTGTTCCTTATGCAGTTACGGAACGGGGGCAATTATGGCTGTACCTGCACACGACACTCGTGACTTAGAGTTTGCATCAAAATTTGACATCCCAATTCGTTGGGTTGTGATGCCGGATGATAGAAATCTCAGTGGTTCTGGAAAGGCCTATTCAGGTGAAGGCACTGTTGTAAATTCTTCAAATTCAACAGTGGGGCTGGACATTAATGGCTTATCCAGCAAAGAAGCTGCTTCTAAAGTCATCGAATGGGCTGATAAAACTGCAAATGGGAAGAAAAAGGTGATATTTCAGAGCACGGAAGCTTATGTAATTAGAAATTTGGAGTATGCCCACTTGCTCCATGCATATGATATGATCTGTTCTTTCCCTCAAACTTGTCTTTTTCAGGTGAACTATAAGTTGAGGGATTGGCTTTTTGCTCGGCAACGTTATTGGGGGGAACCTATCCCAGTAGTTTTTTTGGATGATAATGGTGAGACTGTTCCCCTACTTGAAACTGAACTGCCCCTTACCCTACCAGAACTGGATGATTTTTCTCCCACTGGAACAGGAGAACCACCACTATCAAAATCAGTTTCTTGGGTATGTTTTCCCTCCTGTACTTTCTTTGTTTTGTCTACTGTTTAGTCTGTTTGTGGATGAGTTCATGCAACTTCAGATTTGTGGTTTTATTAGTCTTTGGTGAACTGCTTAACTTTTTCTCGCAAGTATTCCAGATGATTTTGTTGCCCTCTGTATTTATATATGTACACCATTGAAACTTATTTTCAGGTCAAAACTAAGGACCCTTTAACTGGAAAACCTGCTCGACGAGAGACAAGCACCATGCCCCAGTGGGCTGGTTCTTGCTGGTAATCTGTTCAATACCTTCAATAGTTGATTTCTGTTAGTTAAGGCAGATATGAAATGTTGGAAAGTTTGTTTTAGGTTTTAGATGCTGTACCTTTTTTTGACCATGTCAGGTACTATTTGAGATTTATGGACCCAAAAAATTCAAAAGAAGTGGTGGCGAAGACAAAAGAAATGTAAGTAAAGTCTTTCTCTGTGCATGCTTCATTTCGCATTCTATTTTCTTTATTAAAATAAAAATAAAAACAGATAGTGATTACCGTTTTGATATTATGTGAATTTCACCTTCTATTCATGTTTTTTAAAACTCCTCTTGATCTGCAGGTATTGGAGCCCAGTTGATGTGTATGTTGGCGGTGCTGAACATGCTGTTCTTCATTTACTTTATTCAAGGTTCTGGCACAAGGTCTGTGACTTAAATCTGTCGTGTTCTTCATTTTGAGAAATACAAGTAGATAGGATTCATCAATATGAAATTGCACATTTTTGTGCAATAGTTACATCTATTGTCATTATGCCCAAGGACTACCTAAAATTAATAATGCAAAGGGTAGTAAAAAGAGAAGAAAAAAAAAATGCTTGACTGGATTCATTGTCCAATATTCATTCTCATGTTTTTTAACTAAATCTTTGGACGTTTTTATTTCAGGTTCTGTATGACATTGGCATCGTGTCCACCAAAGAACCATTCAAGTGTGTCATAAACCAGGGAATTATTCTTGGCGAAGTAAGAAAAGTTGTTTTGTATACTGAAGAGTAATTTTTGCCAACACGTGTTTCTAATACTTTGCTCTGCAGGTTCAATATATTGCTTACAAGGACTCTGATGGGAATTTTATCTCTGCAGACTCTGGAACATCAGTTGAGTATCATCAAGAACTAATACCAGAGGAAAAGGTTTGCTTCTTGGATCCCTCTGGATAGTTTTTTCTTCTATATTGATTCTGTTTTGATAGGGTTAATGGAAGAAAGAACCTTTAGTTTGGTATTCCGTATTCCTCTTCCGCTTTTTATTTTCTCTTGACGTAATTTTTCCTTCTGTAGGTCATGAAATCTGGGGATTCTTTCGTAATGAAAGACAATCCAAACATTTGTCTGATTGCACGTTCTCATAAAATGAGTAAAAGCAGGGGAAATGTAGTCAATCCTGATGACGTTGTTTCTGAATACGGGGCAGATTCTCTACGTTTATATGAAATGTTCATGGGGCCACTTAGGTAGTTTTTTTAATTGCATTTTTATCTTATTAACTGTTTTGTTTGGCCTATCTTTCCACTAATGTGTCCACACTGTCTAGCGATATCTTTGCATTTCTAAGGAATTAAATTATTTCGACAAAAGATTACTCTATTCTTAAATAATCTTTCTTGTTACTAAATTTTGCTTCTAGAGATTCAAAAACCTGGAATACGAGTGGTATTGAAGGTGTCCATCGATTTTTGGGAAGAACCTGGAGGCTAATTGTTGGTTCACCATTATCAGATGGTACATTCAAGGATGGAACATTAGTGACTGATGAGGATCCTACTTTGGAGCAACTTCGTTCTCTCCATAAATGCATTGCGAAGGTCAGATCTCAAATTCTGGGACTTTGTCTTCTATAAGTTATATTCCCTATTTTTTCCTCACTTGTCTTTTTCTGTAAGTTGTGTTGTTAGAAGGTAACTTGTTTCTTTACTTGATAATTTGTTAAGTTGAGCAGCAGTTTGAAGACTTCATATGCCACCATGTGTTCTTGATGTCATAATCTGACATGGATGGTGGTCGTCGTTTGAAACACATAATAGATGAACAGAACGAATCATGAAAACTTATGTTAGAATGACTGTCCGAAAATCAGAAGCGTGCACCTTTATGTCAGTTTAAAGTATGCACTTTTTAACCAATGAATTCTTCTTCTTTTCTTTTCATTTCCCCCCACAATTGCAGGTAACAGAGGAAATAGAAGCGACAAGATTCAACACTGGAATATCTGCAATGATGGAGTTCCTTAATGTGGCTTATAAGGTCCTAGAAGCCATTTGAAACACATATGTATCATCTTTTGGAGATTGTTAAGCATGACACATTAACTGAGTAATTGTTTCATTTATCTTTCAGTGGAAAAAACATCCAAGATTGATTATTGAAGCATTTGTTTTGTTGCTATCACCGTATGCACCTCATATGGCTGAGGAACTTTGGTTTCGCTTGGGACACTCCAAATCATTGGCATATGAGCCTTTTCCTAAGGTGTGAATTCCTCTCTCTAACATATCATCACTGATTACTATGGTGTCATAACCATAATGATAACTAAGGAAAGCATTCTCTTTCTTGTTTCCACAATTGAGGAACGCTGATTGGTAGATGGCCACTTCTTGATTTCTTCCTATGAGCAGGTGGATCCTGCGTTTTTGAAGGAATCTACTATTGTCCTACCTGTTCAGATCAATGGCAAGACAAGGGGCACAATCCAGGTTGAAGAGACCTGTTCAGAGGAGAATGCTTTCCAATTGGCATCAAGAGATGAGAAACTCTCCAAATATCTGAATGGGAAGGTGATTAAAAAGAGGATTTTTGTCCCTGGAAAGATCCTGAATGTTATCCTGGACCTTCAAAACGTCAAGGCGACAGTCTGATAATCCCTTCATTCCCATTTTGGCGTTGATGAGGTCTGGTCTGATGACTCCATAAAGAAACAGCTCCGACTTTATTTGCCTTGCTTACCAATGAAAATCATGCAAGTAAGCGGAAGAATTATATGCCAATCATGGAGACAGAAGAAGAGTAACCCGCAAACCACAGTTATGTTCAGAAAAAGGGGTGGGTCTGGCTTCAAAGTCTACACCTCTCTGTATGCCACTTGTATTGGTATGAGAATGGTATATTGGGGATCATTTTCTTCAATACTGTATATACATTGATGTTCTTCTTGTAATGTAAAGCTGGTGATTTATAATAATTCATAAATATAGTTTGATTCTGTCACGATTTGGTAGCTCAACGGTGAACAAACCAACAAGCTTTTGAGTTTTTGACTCGGACTTATCCCCACCCATCTGATTGATTAGTCGTGACAATAAAATCGAATGCGAGTTGAATATGTGGTGGTTGAGCTTGAGGCAACAAGTACTGGCAAAGCAATGGTCAATTTTAATTTTGAACATGATGTAAACCTTTGGAACAAGTACTGGCAAAACGATGGGGTTTCAAATCTTCGTCTTGACATTTTGAAAGGTTTCTTTGTGTGAATTTATTGGATGCTCTAAAAGATAATACTATGCAGCAACCCTCATGAGCAATTTAATAAACTTGGGTCTATTTGCACTTCTAGTAGTACTTTTCTTTTCGATATTTAAACAAATTCAGAGTTTGAATCTTTCATTGCCGTTAATAATTTTCTTTTTGATGTTTTAATAAAATATCCATAATTAATAATTTTAAAAAATCATGATGAACCCCTCTCATTTTTAAATGGTTTCGTGGTTGGTTGAGTCTAAGAAAAAAAGAAAATTCTTCAACATACTCCATTCATCTCCTCCTCCCTTGTCAACTTCCATAAAAACGAAAAGTAAAAGAAGAGAGAAAAAATAGAAGAAAAACGTTATCACCACCATGCGGCAAAGGCAAAGGCGGTTGCACATTTTAACAAAAAAAAAAAAAAAAAAAATGAAAGGAGAGTCCACTAGCGTCCCCTCTCTCGTGGGACCCACCCTCCCTCCCTCATACGACTGACTACCACCTGGCACGGCCCAGATCACGGCCCGCAAATTTCAAACTACAACAGAAGAGAGCCCACGAAAACGGAAACAAACGACGACCAAGTTTGTCTTTCTCCAGAGTCCCTGCCTAGTCTGTCAGTCCACCCTCTCTTTCTCTCCGACCTCCGCAAAAGAAAGAAACCTCCAAATTCTCAGAGTCCTCTCTCTCTCTCTCTCTCCCCTCCCGTTTCAAATGCTCCTCCTTCTTCCTCCTTCAAAATCTAACCTTCAATGTACTCTCTCTCCTTCTCTGAGTTTTGATTTTCAATTTTTGAGTTCATGACTTCTGTTCATTCTGATAAAGTTCACGTATTTTTCAATTAATTCAAGGAAAGACGATGATGATGACGAAGAAGTCACCACCAATCCCGGCGCGCCACGTACTCAGGTTCAGCTGGAAGCTGGTGGTCATCCTCTCGATCACTCTCTGCGTCTTGGCCTTCTTCAAGCTTCACTCGCAACCTGACCTCTACTCCTCTCCTTCTTCATTATCTATCGCAAGATCTCGACTTTCTCGCCATGGCAACAACTTTAGCGGCCCTCCCAAGATCGCCTTCCTTTTTCTCGCCCGCCGTAGCCTCCCCCTCGATTTTCTCTGGGGCAGCTTCTTCGAGGTTTAGTCTTTTACTTTTATAAATTTATCGTTTTCCATTTCTATTTTCTGGGACTTTCTCGGGAAAGTGAAGGAGAATTGCTGTAATTTTGGCAGAATGCTGACATGCCGAATTTTTCGATTTATATTCACTCGGCGCCTGGTTTTTCTTTCGACGAGTCGACGACGAGATCACATTTCTTTTACGGCCGCCAATTGACGAATAGCATTCAGGTAGTTATTCATTTAGTTTATGATTGGTTAAGAAAAAAGAAAAAAAAAAAAAAAAAAAAAAAAAAAAGAAAGAAAGTATTAAAAAATTCAGAAACTTCCGTTATTTTTTTTAGTAATGTCATTCTAGCACTCTATGAATGCCTATATCACAGTCTGCCTTTTCCCCTTAAGTTCTTTATATTCCCTGTTTGCTGAAAGGAACTTAAGGAGAAGATTAAGGCAGTTTAAAGAGTTGGTATTCAACTCTGTTATGTGGTGATTGTTGTCTTATAAATTATAACATTCTATAGTGGAAATATTTTGAGAAAAATTTTATAAGGGGAATGATCCAAATTGAGTTCGAAGGAATTATTTGCTTCAATATCACGTGTTGTTGTCCATATGGTATTATTCCCTACTTACATAGAATGCAAACTGGTGGTCATATATTGCAGGTGGGTTGGGGAGAATCAAGTATGATCGAAGCAGAGAGGTTGTTGTTCGCAACAGCTCTTGAGGATCCAGCGAATCAACGATTTGTACTCCTCTCTGACAGGTTAATATTCTTACTGTCTAATATTAATGAGTGTATAAGCACTAGGTTATAGTACCGAAAAGAAAGTAGGTTATAGTATGACTGTGTTTTCTTCTGAAGAATAGGAGTGTTAATGGTGTGCTACTTACCTAAGTTTATTACTTCTTGTACTGCAGTTGTGTTCCTTTGTACAACTTCAGCTATATATACAACTATTTGATGGCTTCTCCAAGGAGCTTTGTGGACAGGTAGATGCAGGGGATTTCAATTTTGAGGTGCCAATCATGGATAATTTGTAGATATACCAGTTAGGAAATTTTCAATTCTATTTTCAGTAAGTTATTGAATGGATATGAATTGAAAAGGTATTCTGAATGTTTCTGAGTAAGTTATTTATGCAGTTTGTTTATTTTGTAGCTTTCTTGATGTAAAGGAGGGCCGCTACAACCCGAAAATGTCACCTAACATACCAAAACAAAAATGGCGAAAAGGATCCCAGGTGATAATCTATTGACTGCTTTTATCTTTATTTGCACTAAACCTTGCCTTACTTGTAAAACAAAAGAAATATATATTTTAAACGTTTTGTATAAAAAAATTAATTTATTTGAATTCTCTGAAGGACATTCAAAGGCCACAACATCCTCTTTTGGGGTTACAGATCCAACATTCTTGTTTGTTAAGTCAATTCTGTAGTCTTTAACACTGGTTCACTTGCTTAGATATTATCATTACTGTCGCCATCGTTATGATTATTCCTCTGCATCTGTGGTTGGTAGGGATGGTAGTACTATGTAATATGTATGCATGATTATGCTCTGACTTGAATTTGATTGGGGAATCTCAGTGGATTGCTTTGGTTCGAAGCCATGCTGAAGTCCTTGTGGATGATGAAGTTGTACTACCAGCGTTCAGGAAATTTTGCAAGGTACGTAATCAATCATTGTATGTCTTGAGTATTTCTGTGTTTTATAACATATTTCAAAATTTCTTTCTGTTCTCTGAAGAGTCATTGATAATAGAACTACATCCCCTTAATTTGTCTATAGCAAGTAACTTCACTGCTTCTTACTTTGCAGCGTCGCCCACCTCTGGATGCCAGAAAGGGGAAGCTGAACATTGTAAGTGTGCATAGGCTCAGGGCATAACGTCTAAAAGTGTGTAGTTTTTCTCATCCAAGTGAGTGATAATAGGTTCTGATTTGGCTTAAATTCGAAATGCAGAAACTTCAGAAGCAACACAACTGTATCCCAGATGAACACTATGTGCAGACACTGCTTACGGTAAGATTTTTTAATTTTTTTTGTTGTTTTGTATCTTTCTCCCCCTTTGTTATTATTTATTTATTTATTATAATTGACCGCTCTGTTGCAATGGCTTTTTATGAATTAGTTATCACTAGTTCGAGAGTTTCTGATTGGGATCCTTGTTTTTACCTGTTCTATGAATTTCTTTGTTAGATGAGTGAGCGTGAAGATGAACTTGAGCGAAGGACATTAACCTATACACTGTGGAACAACTCTGCAACTAAAACAGAGAGTAAAGGCTGGCATCCTATGACTTTCACCCACTCGAATGCAGCCCCTCAGAAAATAAAGGAAATAAAGGTGTTATTAATTTTTATTTTTATTTTCTTGGCTTGTTTTCCTTCCTGTTTCATTGTTTTGACTTGTGCCAGCCTATTTTGACAGGAGATCAACCATGTATACTATGAGACAGAATACCGGACAGAGTGGTGTCGTGTAAATTCGACATATGTTCCCTGTTTTTTATTCGCAAGGAAATTCTCCCAAGGGGCTGCCATGCGCCTTCTTAGCGGGGGAGTAGTTGGTCAATTTGATACCTCTTCATTATTAGATCCACCACCATGATCCTATACTTGAAGAGTTCTTGCCGCTGCTCACTAACTGTTAGCCGACACTGAAACTATAATTTGAGCAAGTAAGAAGCCCACCAGAGGTTTACAGATATATTATACTCACACTCACACTCACACGATAGAGTTTGATACTAAACACACTATAAAGGTTGTAGAGATGCAGCTGTTCAACGTTTTTCAAAGATGATGAGTCGTCAGTTATCACAGAGAAGATAGGAAATATCCAATAGGATATGCTTGTTCCAGTCAGACTTGCTGCGTTCTATATAATGTTGAAATAGGAACATCATCATCTTGTCTTCTCATGACGGTGCTCGAGACGCATATAACGATTAAAATATTCTCTTTGTACCCTCCAGGCGAATTGAATAATTTGGAACTTCAGACATTTTTGATCTGCTTGAAAAGATTGCATCATTTACTTGGGCCCGTTTTAAGATTATCTTTGTATTTTTCGATTGTCGTTGTCTTCTTACAATTTCGAAACATCTGTGCAAAATTAGACCCCCTTGCTCCACTGCCTAAGCTGAAAGTGGCTCATTTCCTCGTGTATCATTAGGTGTGGATTGTTACACGGACCAAAACTCTATGGTCTACAAATAATGTGCGTGCAAGTTTAGAATTCTCTCACTAATACTGCAGTAAGGATTGAAGAGAGGTCTTCGCAAAATTTAGCAATCAACTGTCTGGTTTATAAAGTCAATACTCGATTTACTCATTTCCCAGCTCAACATTTTCAGTATTGACAACATATCGTCATATTGAGGATTTGTATTGTGATCCGTAAAGAATGTAGTGACAGTCCCATGCAATTCAATAAAACTCCAGCCAGGGAGTTTTTTCAAGCCAAGAGACCTCATTTGGGTCCATGCCTCACCAACGCCATCCCATCTGTTCATTGAAGCATAGCTATGTGCCAGTTGCACGTAGTTTCCAGCATCCACAGGTCTCAGCGTGAAAATTTCTTCTGCGATAATGTTCCCCAGTTCCTCATTGCCCTTGGTTCGACAAGCATCGAGAAGTATGCCCAAGACATCAACTGCAGGCTCTTGAAACACCCTCTTGTAGAAGTCATAGGCCTCTTCAACCCTTCCAGCTCGGCTGAGAAGATCGACAACACAAGCACGGTGTTCCAAGCTCGGTGCAATGCCAAAATCTTCAGTCATTGACTGGTATATGCTCAAACCTGTATTGACAAGCCCATTGTGGCTGCAAGCAGAAAGAATTGAGAGGAAAATGACATGATTTGGTTTCATTCCAGTGTGCAGAAACTCTGAATACATCCTCAATGCAGTCTCTGCTTTTCCATGGCAGCCATAACCAGAAATAATTGTGCTCCATGAGACCAGATCCTGGTTTGACATCTCAACAAAGCACTTGTGAGCTCTGTCTAAGTCACCGCATTTCGAGTACATGTCAACCAGAGCTGTGTCTATCAAGATGCATGGTCTAAGGCAACTTCTCATGGTAAAGTTGTGAATCCACTTTCCTTGATGAAGTGCCCCAAGAGAAGCACAAGCTTGGAGGAGGGAGACCACGGTTAATGAATCGGGCTTCTGAAGGGTTGCCCTCATCTCAGAGAAAAGAACCAGAGCCTCGTGTAAATTCCCGTTTTGTGCATATCCAGCAACTATAGCATTCCAAGAAACCAAATCTCTTTTTCCTATCCTTTCAAAAACGGCACGACTTTGCTCCAAACGTGCACACTTTGCATACATGCTAACAAGGGAGTTTTGGGCAGGGATATCCAGTCTCATTCCTTGCCTCAAGACATAACCGTGAATTGAGGTTCCCAGATCAAGAGAACCCAGTTGCGCACAAGCTGCAAGAGCACTAGCTATGGTAGCACTAGATGGCTCTGTTCTTGATTGTAGCATCTGACTGAAAACGTTTAGTGCCCTGTCTCCAGAATCATTTTGCACAAGCCCTGAGATCACGGCCGTCCACAGAACCACATCCTTATTTGCAGTCCTTTCAAATATCTGAATGGCAATATCAATATTGCTGCACTTCAAGTACATAACTATAAGCGCTGTTTCGACATGGGTATCCAATTCAAATCCAGTTCTTAAAATCTGCCCGTGCACAGACTTTCCCAATTTAAGATCACTCTGTGTGGCAGCCACAGACACAGCAGAAGCGTATGTCTGTTTATCTGGCAGAATACCTTCAACCCTCATCATACGCAAAAGCTGAAATACTTCTCTGATACTTCCAGTCTGGGAATAGCCTGAAATTAAGGAATTCCACGAAACTATGTCTCTTCCATCCATATACTCAAACAAGTCCCTAGCATCTTCTACTTTTCCACACTTACCATACACATTCAATATGGAATTCAGTAAAGTAATATCAGACTCAAAGCCATATAGTACTGCACAACCATGCAAACACTGCAAATAAGTAAGCTCCGTAACTCCGGAGAGCAAGCTTAGCAAAGTAACCGAACTGGGCTGAATTCCTTCACGCCGCATGTCACAGAACATATCGAACGCAATGCCAACATTTCCGGCACGCGAATAGCATCCGATAATGGAAGTCCAAGGAACAACATTTCTCTCAGGCATTACGTCAAAAACTTTGCGGGCATTTTGGGCATGGCCAAATTTGGCATAGAAGTTTATCAAAGAAGAAGCAATGTAAGCATCCAAAGAGAACCCATTAACGACAATACATTGGTGGAACGAGAGGCCAAAGAGGAAGAGGTTTAAGGAGGTGCAAGCTTTGAGAAGATTAGGAAAGGTATAGGTGTCCGGAGGGGTGTTGGTTTTGAGCATAGAGGAGTATGTAACAAGGACTTCTTGGTGAGAGCCTTGGGATGAGAGGCGGTTGATGATGGCGTTGAAAGTGTGGGTCGTGGCAGTTGGTGAAGGCTGAGGTGGTGGCCTCAAGGGGTTTAAGAAAGAGCTGTTTAGCTTCTTCATCATAACTCATGCTACTGATTATTGACAATAGAGGGTGGGGGTCACCAACAAAGAAGATTACTGAGAACTGAGAACTGAGAACTGAGAACGATTTTTCATATTTATTAATATTAAATAGAAAAAAGAAAATAAATATCAGATTAACTAAAGTAAAAAAATCTGTTTAAAAAGTATTCTCGCGCACTTGGAGCAAACTTTTCAAAGAGTTTTGTAAATGACTCACTAGTGTCGTGCAGTTCTGTTCACTGGGCAGAGCATGGTGTCTAAAATTCAGTTCAGAATTCAGATTGATGGACCAAACATTGAATTGGCATACTGCAGCTAACAAGTGTGCAGAAGTTCCAGTCATACTCATGTAAATTATTTATTCAAGTTCACTTATCTGTTCAAGTTACAAGATACAGTTTGAATTACATATCCAAAATGACATAGACTACAATTTGCCAAAATCTGCGCATAAAATTACAAGAAAATAAATCAAGTTTGTCCAGCTAATTTGATTGTTTCTTTGGATATTCTCTCGCCCCAAATATTGTAGATCCAATTCTCACATTTGTGCTGCCCAATTCGATCTGCAAAACCATCAAATTTCTCCATTAGTCAAGCAATTTAATACATGTGTAAGTTTTAACTTAGTGAAAAAACGTCACTGGTGCTAGGATCAATAAATTTTTCTTTAACATATAAGGTTGCACAAAAGATGACCATTTATAAGTTATAACAACCCAGCACCAAGATACCCAAACCAATCACCCCCTTCCCCTTTCCCCTCTTATTGTGAAACAGATTACAATAGCATAAGATTGGTCCTTACAGCTAGCTCGAAGTCTGCAGACATGCCCATTGAAAGTTCACATTGCTCTTCTGGTATTCCAAGTGCCTTGCACACCTCAGTTCTGCAGTTCGCTAATGTCTGACAACAAACGGTTTGGTTTGAGATTTGCCGAGAAACCCAAGGTGCTGAAATTTTGAGAAAGATTTACACGTAGTATGTTGGAGCATCACCTTAAAGTTTTCTGGTGTAGATGTATAATCCAGCATCCCAATTGTCATTAGACCACAAAACTCAAGGTTTGGACAGCCCAAACTGACATGCTTTGCGAGCTCCACACATCCAGAGGGCTCAACACCAGATTTTGCTACAATGGTATTTTACAGAGATCAGATATTATCTAGAAAATATTAAGAATAAATGACTAACTTATGGAAGCCCCATGGATTGTTGACTAACATTTGATAATGAATAAAAATGAATGAAAAACATTCATCGGATAACAATGCAAGTGTAAACCACCATACTCCTCAAGCAAGCATCTCCCACTGTATCTAAGAAAAGGGTTGCTCATATCTAGTAGACTTACATTCTTCTCCACTGGTATTCACTTGGAGCAAGACCTTCAAAGGCTTTCTGCCAATGCTAGCAACTACATTATCAAGACGATTTGCAATCTGCAAAACATACAAGGTGGAGTAAACTGAGAACCAACCAAGCTGCTGAGTTTAAGAACAGCTGAACATGATTATCCATAAGAAAAGTATGAGCTTCCCTAATTACAGATAATTAACCATGGCCACTATTCTTTAATTACCCCAATCATTATAAATAAAGCAAAATTGTATACAACAAAGGACCAGTGAATTCAATTTCCATCAGAAACCCAAAGGGGAACTAAGACAAGGTACAATCTTGACTAGAATTACATAATCGTTACAAAATAACATTGATTTTCTCGATACCCATCACCCAAAACTTACTTTACACAGAAAATGCTGTTAATAGAATAAGTGTCTACCTTCTCATCATCCACACTCTCTACCATTGCAAGGTTGGGTACACCAGCTGCACAATTTGAAAATAACAAAACAAAAACGCTTATTGCTTTCTACAAATGGGCTACCTAACAAAGGCTTAAGATATGACACTGAAGCACAACAAACATATTTGAAAAAGAAAATGAATCGTACTTAGAAGGGGCTTTACTTTGTTGCTCTGCAAATTCCCAATAAAATGCCACTCAATATCTTCCGGAAGCTGCAGGGCCCAAACCAATCACGAAAAATTTAACCACTTTCATTTCTTTCAACACAAATCAGTTGGTCGAAACTCAAGTGAGAGATAGAGAAGCAGAAAGAAAGCAACCTGAGGAGCTTTCTCGACGAGTTCTTGGACGTAGTTTTCGCCGAAACAGCGATGGCCGGCGTCGTACACTTGGCGGAGCACAGAGACTGGCTTCGTCTTGCTCACCGCCACCACTCGGATCTCGTGGGCTACACGTCCCGATTTTTGGGCTGCCAGCTGGACGCGCTGCATCACTGAACGGAGGGCCGCGGCTGCGACGCCGTCGATTGCGGCAGAACTGGCCATGGCTGGTTGCTCCTCTCCTTTGACTTCGTTCTCTCTCTCCGCCTTCTCCAGATTGTTGGCTTACGATACAATCCCATTGCATTTTGTGCAGTGGATCTTAAAAACTCACATTTACCATTACCGTCCGGGGCGCCAGAAGGTGCGGATTAGAAACGTCGCCGTATTCAACTGCAGTACGAAACGTCACATTTGGACTGTTTGATAAGGCCCAAACCAGATAGTTTTATGGCTTCGGTAGGAGCCCAAAATCTAGGTTCCTGGGCTATAGAATGTAAGGCTTCAGGCTGAAGTTTATGGCCCAGGTTTGATAATATGACTTCTTTTTTCTTTTTCTTTTTCTTGGGTATCCTTGCTTTTAATTTAAAAAATAATAATATAAATCCAGTAAAGGATTAACGCAACAATAGTCGAACGATGTCTCAAGTTTGAATTCACCACCTTAATTGATTACAAAAACAAAAAACAAAAATAAAATTCTTATTGTAGGTGTGAGATTTAGTGTATCCCTTACTAGTCACGTTGAGGTAAAAAAATGAAACAATTGTAGGAAAAAAAAAGGAAAGATCTGATAATGGGTAGGGTGTTCAAGGAGACGTATACATATTACTGTTCAATTTCACTGCCTCACGCATCATTGCACGCTTAATCCACTTAAAAATTTCCAATCCTAGAGCAGTAACACCTAAAACACAAAGTATTCCAACATAAGTCCATTTCCACTTTGCAGCATGAGCTCGATTGTTTATTCCTTCAAATATGTTTGCTATGGTTAGAGCAATCAGAGCATAGCCAAGAAGATGATGGCATATCTTCACGTACTTGGGAAACCCATTTTCTCCCTTAGGTCGCCAAAATATGGCAAGCATCTGAACGAACAACCATTAAAAAAAAATTATTACACAAATGACTTAAAATGAAAACAATATTTACCCTTGCACTTGACGTCCTATGTTGTATTCCTCATTTTCTTATATTTTGATTGGAAAAAAAAAAGAAAAATTAAATGACTTTTTTCTTCTTCTGTTTGGAGCCAAGAGGATGAGTTTGACTTACTTGAATGGTGGTGAAAGTAAATATAATGATCCCAAGAACACGATGTGTTTTGTTGCTTTGTTGCTTTGAAGAATTCCCAAGAAACATGCCACTACACCATCCAACGGTGCCTACAATGTATCCACCGCTCTGACATGTTATGTGAACAGAATACCATTCGCTGCACTTGAAGGGAAATTTTCTGAAGTACCTTGCGGCTATTGCTCCGATTGGCAACAAAGTTCCCCATCCGAAGATATTCAGAACCCCATGCGTCTGTCATTAAACTTAATTACACACTTTAATTAATTAATCTTCTAATTATCAACAAAAAAGAAGAAAAAAGTTTTTAACGAATATACATCTTACATACATTTCTTAGGTAATGCTGAAAACGAGAGGGGTTTTGACCCCTCCATGTTCTTAGATGTGTTGTGATCACTGCAGGGTTCTGAATAGAAGTAACCTGCATTTGGGGTTTCATCTCTTCAGCATTGGAGTAAGCTTCCCAAACATGAAGTGGTTTCTGCAAGTCAACCATCTGATTAGTGTTCCCCTGGTAATTGCAGCTTGAAGTTTTGGCTTTGACAGAATGCAGAGGGAAAATTAAACTCAGGATAATCAGGCTTTGGTAATTCATTATCTCTCTCTCAAGCAAAATTGTTTGAGAGAGAGATAAACCCAAAGGTTTCACCCAAAAAAGAAAAAGAAAACAGCAAATTTGTACACTAGAAGCAGAAATATTGTAGGTATATATGTTCAGGGTACAAAATTGTTGCTCATTAATGTTGAAGCCTGAAATATTTTCTTAAGTAGTGAATTGGGTGTTGAGAATATGTGCTTTCCTTACCCAATTGGGGAATCAATGTGTGACTTGTTTTAATGGAAGTAGGACAATCAGATTTTATTCCCATCTTTATTTCCCCTGTCCCCCCCTTTCTTATTTACTATTCAAATTTCAAACATGGGGTTAAAATATCACATAAATTTATCAATGATGTGAAGGTGAGGGAAAGGGTAACTTTCTTTGTTTATCTATATATATATATATATATATATATTTCTTAGACTTATGATTGGGATACAGAATCACTGGAGGAAGCCATCTTTTCTTTGTTGCCAATCAAATGATTTCTTCAGAGAAGATACTGAGTAATTTACAAGTAGCCTAATGAATTTAGACCATTACTGCAACCACACAAATAAAGCAAAACTTGTACATCAAGTTTCCAATTGTCAACTCTCCCCCCATTGTTTCTATAAAATCCCATATCCTATTGAAACTCTACACTAAGTCTACACTCCTCTCCTACAAAAATATCATCTCCCTACAGGAAAAGAGAGAAAAATATCGCCAATTTATAATTTAGTCATGGCCATGAAGTTGATGAACATCTTCGTTACACTCGTAGCCATGATAGCCATTGTTGCAGCTGCAAATTTGGACGAAGATTACAACGAGGACTTGGAAATGCAGAGTACTGAAGCAACATTGCCTGAAACACCAGACGAAGGAGAAGCAACTACTTCTTTAAGAGGAGTGAGCCGTTTTCTATATCAGAAGAACGTGCAACAGGCCGATTATACTTGCAACAAGTTTCCTAGGATTTGTCGTTTGAGGAACAGTCCGGGGCCAGACTGCTGCAAGAAGAAATGTGTTAACGTGAAGACGGATCGATACAACTGCGGGTTTTGCGGCTACAGATGCAAGTACACTGAGATTTGCTGCAGGGGAAAGTGCGTCAATGCATCTTTTGACAAGAGGCATTGTGGTGGGTGCAATCAGAAGTGCAAGAAGGGAGAGTACTGTGTTCATGGGATGTGCAATTATGCATGATTTCACACTATACGTACTTGTGTACATACATATTTGTTCTGTCACCCATTATGGCAGCTTACAAATAACAACAAAGAGAAAGAAGAATTACACTTAATACTTTATAAAACGAATTAAAGCATTTATTATTGTGAAATCATTGCAATTATAATGGTTTCAAAATACCATATATTTACTTTTCTGTCTTTCCGGCCCATCAGAAATCTTCCATCAAATGGGAAATAGTACTGTTCTGATTTTAATTATAATGTCAAACAAATGTCATATTATTCAAGAGTAATAATGGTATAGTAATACTTGTTCTACAATCTAGCTAGTGGTTTGAAAAGTGCGACTCAATTGTTTAATTATTGCTAAATATATGGCGATATAATTTGATGCAAATTTAAAGTCGCAATGCCGTAGAAACATTTTCATGTCGTGAGGGAAGGTACACAGTACCAAGTTGGTCAAAGAATTTTCATATATAATACACGGCTAGATAAATACAACCAGATGAAAACTAAAACTTAAAAAACATGGCTGAGAAGGCAATCAGAGTTGTTTTTCGGTTTTAGATATTGGAAAAAACAAAAAAAAAAAAAAAAAAAAAAAAAAAAAATCAAAAACAACAGGAAATACTGACATGGGAAAAAAAATATAAAACCCCGAAGCTGCAAAATTGAGTACTTTAATAGGAGTGATTCCGTTACTTAGTATTACTTATTATTTGATTTAGGATCAATATCAAAGAATTCTGTTGAACGTTTTTGTATCATTAGTTAGATTTAGGATATATAAAAAACAATATTGCCCAAATCATAAGGTGTACTCAGTTAATTTTAGGTTTTGTTTAGCAGCACTCATAAATACTATTATAATTAAATAGTATAGCCGGGCGGCTATAAATCAGTTTTTTAAATTTTTTTAATAAATAGTCTAGCAGCTAATAGAATTAAATCGTATAGCCGTTCGGCTATACTGCAGGTTTTAAAATTTGTTTTTTAATAAAACGTATAGCCGTGTGGCTATACTCTTTAATATAAAATAATAAATCGTATAGCGCCACTGCTGTACTTCAGTTTTAAATTTTTTTTTAAATAAATAGTATTGCCGTGCGGCTATACTGTTAAATTTTGTTTATTAAATAGTATAGCCGGCCGGCTATAGTTTAGTTTTTTAAAAGTTTCTTTACTAAATAGTGTAGCCGTGCGGCGATACGCGTTAAATATAATATAATTAAATAGTTTAGCCGCGCGGCTATACTGGGGTTTTAAATATTTTTTAATAAATAGTATAGTCGTGCGACTATACCAGGTTTTTATTTTTTCTAAAAAACCATTTTTTTAAATTTCGTTCCTTTGCATTAGTCACCACTCTGAGCTAAGAATTGGGGTGCTCTGCCAAGGGGTATTATGAGATCCTTCAGAAGCTTGTACTGTTCTGCACTTATCAGGGTGTTCTCCAGCACCTATTTAGCCAACACCAAAATCGCAAGTACAGCTTAAGGTTTTTGTTTAAAAAAGCCCTTCGAAAAGAGTAGTTTAGAAAATACACGTTTTTTTTTACAAAGCAACATACAATTCATGTACGTATACGACCAACTTCTTGCTGTCTTAATCGACCAACATCTTTTGTGGGTTCTAGGTTAGCTCGTAGTTGGGCACCGTAACCCGGCTTCCAATTCATCTCGCATCAGCAGTTCTTCTTACCAAAAATAGCCCACTTAGTTCCATGGCGCAGCTTAACGAAGCAAGGAACATGGTCACCTAAACATTTTCATGTGGTGAGGGAAGGTACACAGTATCCAGTTACCAGTTGTTGCCTCTTTACTCAACATAGTCGCTTCCCCCTACGACTTTAGTTTCTTTCTATAAATGTATAAGGAAAAGTATATATACATAGGCTTTTCAATTACATCGAAATGACCTGAAAGTATATTAAAGGATTTTAAAAAGTAAAGACAAAAATTAACAAACTAACATAAATATTGTCGTACGTGCCAAGTTATATATCATGATACCATGTGATACAATGAATAATCAACCTATGCGGCGTACGTGCCTCCTTGAACTTCTTGACACATATTGGTCAATTATATGATTTCCAAAAGTATGAAGAAAGTCAACAAATATGGTCCAAGTGCTTCTGTAACGGTTTCTCCATATGAAAAATAGACCACCAGTTTGGTTTTTCTTGGACCCTGGAACCAGAACATAGATCCATGATTGAGAAGCAGCTGCAGCTGCCTAACTAGTATGATTTATGAGTAACTTAATTTTGTTTCTTCTTCTTCCTCATAAGTTCATATTCGCCTAACTAATTTGGGGTGTATGTTTCTTTGAAAGCCAAACTTCGTTTACTTAAAAGTTTCGTAGCCCTTTGAATTAGACCAATCTATTAAGCATATCAATACTCATCCATATACGAATTACACCGCCTTCACATTCTTCTTCTCTATATATACTTGTCCAAAGCCTACATGCTTCTCCATCCAAAACATTCAAAGCTTCACCATCCTCTACGAACCTTTTGAAATCTCTCTCTCTCTCTCTCTCTCTCTCTCTCTCTGCTTTTATACATACCACATACCATACACACCAACAGCAACGAAACATCATCATGAAATCCTTCATGCTTTTCCTAATGCTTGCCATGCTAATGGCTTCAGCCATCACTACTCTTTCTGCAATACCAGACGAAGAAGAATCATTCTTCAACGAGGAAAACAATAATGATGCAAATGACGAAACCAAAAGCCAGTTGGGAAAAAGTACTTCTCTGAGGGGAATAAGCCGCTTCCTTGCCTCCCGGCCGCCTGCGATGACTTGCGACAGATACCCTAAGGTTTGTCGGGCGTCGGGCAGCGCAGGGCCAGATTGCTGCAAGAAGAAATGTGTCGACAGGAACACAGACAGGGCAAACTGTGGCAAGTGTGGGAGGAAATGCAAGTACGCAGAGATATGCTGCAAAGGTAAGTGTGTGAATCCGAGGTCGGACAAGAAAAACTGCGGGAGCTGCAACAACAAGTGCAAGAAAGGCAGCTCATGTGCGTATGGGATGTGCAGCTATGCATGAACGCACCAGATCACTGCTGCTCGATCGATAAGGAGGGTATTGCAATATAATTATTAATTGTGCAGCTATACTTTGATAATTTTATTTGTTTTATTAAGCTCAGCTATATATACCTGAAAATAGTAGCTGGGCTCTATCTATGAATTTGTGCACGTGTGTGTAAGTGCAAGAATAAGGGCTAGCCAATTAATTGTTTATTAATTTATTATTATTTTCTCTTATTATATTGTAAGGAATAATGAATTATTATTACTCAAAATAAATAAAGTTCTTATTTGTTTGTTGATTGTTTGTTGATGTGACTTAAGTAAGATACATATATCACAGGAATCGGACCTTAACACATGCTCAGTGTAAGAAATTAGAGTTTAAATTCGTTTTACCTTCGTATGCATCATCAAGTCATTGCAGGTGTAGATCCCAGCGTATTCAAGCTTCTTAATATCTCCGGCATTGATTCCCTAAGCAATCAGTCACTACACAAAACCCAAGCATTACTATTAGAAATTAGATTCCTCAGTTTTGAAGCAAAATTCGCTCAAAACTTATGTATACAGAATCGGGGAAAACTAGTTCGATCTCACTGAGAAATCAAACTGGAGTTTTTTTAAAAGAAAAATAGAGCAAATCAAACAGAATTTTAGAAATATGAAAAGAACATTGAAATCTGAACACTGAATCAAAGACGTACAGAGATTGAGCTTGAAACGATGAATATTTAAATAAATCGAAAAATGAAAATAATGTGCAAACTGGTATAAATCAAGAATTAAAGACAATGAGGCCTCCTAACCACATGAATGTGGTAGGGAACATGATTCTAAACTATAAGAAAATTCATAATCAAACATTAGGAGTTAGGGTTTTAGAGAATCACACCTTTGGAAGGTCACTGAGAATTTAGCTTCGAAAGCAATGTGGCTCAAGCAATAGTCTTCTCGCGAATGAGGAACTGGAAATAAAAAATCTGAATCCCTCTCCGTTGGTCGATGTGGGATGTGAAGGAAGTTGAGGTTCCACCCCAAAATCAATTGGCAATGGGGGGAGAAGCCTAACTCCTTATAAACCTAGGCTTGATCCCTTAACATTTTAATGTGGGACAAATACTCTCAACAAGATGTCACAGGAGATAAAAAAAAACTTATGTTTTTAGCAGATTGCAAATATATTAGAGGGTTTTGGGAAGAAAAAAATGAATTTACAAATTACGACATACTTAGTCCGTAATATATATATATATATATATACACATATCACGGTGTATATACAATCACGCCGTTAAAAGACACAAATTACCTTTTTAAGGCGTGTTTTCATATACCGTAAATATCAGTTATTAACGACACACATTACTATCTTTTTAAGGTGTGCTTTGTCATATGCCATAAACACCAATTATTAACAACACGAATAAAAAGCGTGCTATAAATATCAAGTTGTATAAGCTCCAAATTGGTGCAGTGCTTGTAAGATATATATATATCACAGGATGAATTTCCAACTTATGGATGGGAGGAATTTGGATGAATTTCTTCTTTAATTGTATCTTAAGTTGAAAGGTAATTTTGTTATTGTCAAACCATCGCATATTTGGGCCAGTTTTCGGAAAAATAGAAAGGTGTGATTTTGCGTGTGTGCATTTGATGGGCTTCGTCAAATCTGCCAGGTCTCCTTCTTCGTGAGGAATAAGCACCTTAAAAACCATAGCCTGCGCAAAGCGTGATAACTGCGAAACACCTGAGGAGATTTGCCACTGCTTTGCCTCGACGAGTGCCTTGAAGCGCGGCTTATATCGATCGTCAAATAAAAAACGACGGCTAGTGGCACAAGTGTGGAGTTTTTGTTTGACAATGGGGCCAAAAGTCTCCAAACGAAACAGCAAATTAACAAAGTGATGAGGGATTCACTGAGACTCCCATGTTCTCAGCTTACGACCGCTAATCTCTCCTAAGCCGCCGTAAAAGATTATACGAATTTTAGACCGCCTTCACATTCTTCTTCTCTATTTATACTTTTCCGAGCCTACATGCTTCTCCATCCCAAAATCTTCTAAGCACCTTTAGAAATCTCTCTCGGTCTCACTCTCTCTCTCTCTCTCTCTCTCTGTTTTTATACACTCCAAACAAACATCATGAAAGGATTCAAGGTTTTTCTAATCCTTGCCGTGCTCATAGCTTCAGCCATCACTACTCTCTCCGCAATACCAGACGAAGAAGAATCCTTCTTCAACGAGGAAAACAATACTGATGCAAAGGACGAAACCAAGAACCAGTTTGGAAAAAGCACTTCCCTAAGAAGCCGCTTGCTTGCCTACGGGCCGCCTGCCACAACTTGCGACAAAAACCCTAAGGTTTGTCAGGCGTCGGGCAGCGCAGGGCCGGATTGCTGCAACAAGAAATGCGTGGACACAAACACAGACAGAGCAAACTGCGGCAAGTGTGGGAGGAAATGCAATTACTCAGAGATTTGCTGCGAAGGAAAGTGTGTGAATCCGAACTCGGACAACGAAAACTGCGGCAGCTGCAACAACACGTGCAAGAAAGGCACTTCATGTGCGTATGGAATGTGTAGCTATGCATGAACACTAATTATCATGACGCACCAGATAAATCACTGCTACTGGATCGATAAGGAATAAGGATGTTGCAAATTAATTGCAAGGAATAAGGGCTAGCTAGCCGTCACCATTCGATGGGCTTTGCCAATAAATTGTTTATTGTAAGGAATCATCAACATTAGTTCTTATTATTTGTTGATGTTTGTTACTTGTCAGATATAATATATCATAAGGATTCAACCTCTTCCTTTTTATTTTTTTATTCTTCCAACTCGTGCACATATAGATGGCAGAAATTTGGATGAATTTCTATTCTAGTTGTATATTAACGACGAACTAATTTGATCAAACGGTTAAGACATAGGGTCTCATTTAAGGGCCTTAAATAAGACACTTACTATGGAATCAAACAGTTGTAGAAGAAGAAGGGGTTCTTTGGAGGAGCCGGGGTTCCTTGAGAGTTCCTGGGTTTTTTTTTTTTTTTTTTTTTTTTTTTTTTTTTTTTTTTTTTTTTTCTTTGAGCTTTATTTTTTTTTGGTATAGAGTGGAGAACTTGAAACTGAGTTGTCTTTTTTAAAGCATAATAAATAAGGGCACAAGACGGTTGTTGGGCTTGTAATACGCTAGCAAACCAGAACCAGAGCAGTGATGGATTGATTAGAATTTTGAACAATCAACCTAGTGATATTGGAAGACCGATTCTAATTTCTAAACACTTCTAGAACCAATTATCAAGGCAAAATATATATATATATATATATATAAATATAAAAGTTGGTCAAAATGATACTGAATTGATATTGATGACACCTTTTCTTTAGTCTGGAGTTTTTGTAATTGTAATTATACTGACATGCGAGCCCAGTTAGGAAACAAGCCCAAGAATCTTCCTATATAATTTGTGCAGGCTTTAATTTCTCTGTTCTTATTCACCTAATTTCTAGAATACGTAATATATTCTTCGGAAGGATAAGTTTGTTTACTGATGAATTAACGTTTTGTACGGCCCCTTGAATTAGACCAACCATGCAAATATTCCCCACGCGTTGATCACCTCTGTCAGCCCTCACGCCTCTCTACATATAATTCTTCAACCCCTGCATGCTTCTCCATCTATCCAATCTTTACACATTCTAGCTCATTCCTTTTCTTCGATACATACACGACCTACAAAATTAATTCAAATCAGTTAGACCAATATGAAATCGCTCAAGTTTTTCTTTGTGCTAGCGATGCTGGTGGCTCTATCAGCCGTCCATACTCTCTCATCAACATCATACGAATTCGAAGAATCATTCTTCAACGACGTCGTCGAGGAAGACAACATTAATGTTACAAATGAGACCTTTGACGACCTCCCAGTTATGGCCGCACAAGGACAAGAAAAAACTTCTCTTAGAGGAAGAAGCCGCTTTCTTGCTTCTCATCGGGCCATGGCCGCGACATGTGACAAAAACCCTAAGGTGTGTAAAGCCACGCATGCACATTGCTGCCACAACAAATGTGTTGATTTGAAGACAGACAAACTAAACTGTGGGAAGTGTGGGGTGAAAAGCCATCACGCACAGATATGTTGCAAAGGTCATCTTGTGAACCCAATGTCTGACATGACACACTGTGGAGGCTGCGACAACCATTGCAAGAAAGGCGGTTCATGTGCGTTGGGGATGTGCAGCTATGCTTAGAAATTCATAATGACGCAGAGGAACTTCTCCTCATCAATAAGAATAAGGAATATCGCAGATTCAGCTATATATATTACTACTGCAATAAGGAATAATGTTTTGTGTATTTGTTTTGGAGACTAATTAAGATGTATGTTTTTGAAAATGTCTTGCTCAAAATAATTATCAATGAAAAAGTATCTATACTTGAAATGGGTTAAGACTAAGGCTGGAATTTTTGCAACGAAGGGCTAGGTATTGATGACTATATTCCCCGATGTGAAAAAAATACTCTCTACATGTCGCACCCCTATGTGTGGAATACTTGTAAATAACATGTTTTGTTATCATGATAACATTCAATCATATAACTTAAAACTAAATGATAATGGGTAGAGGGGCCAAGAGATTTCTAATATATTGATATGCAAAACTTAAGATAAAAATCTCTAACAACCAAAACATGGAAACAAACTTATGCCAATGCCAAATGACCTCGTATTTGTACTATTACATACAAGTTGAACTGTAAAAACTCATTCACGAAGTCGAGACCGTTTATGTGGTTTACAACACGAACAAAATTACCTCTTCTTTGGTAGATCAAATTAACAGATCTAGTATGATCCTTTGTCAATTGTCGCGGTTGATTAAAGGTGTGGATTTTACCAAAAAAAAATTCAGTATGCTACTGTAAATCTACATAAAGAGGAATTATTTTTTTCTTTTCTTTTTTGGTAACACATAAAAATGAATTTATTTGTAAGAAAAATGAATTTATTTGTAAGAAAAATGAATTTATTTGTAAGAAAAATGCATTATGGGTTCTTTATTGACGCCCAGATAAAACCGAACAATGGGACAAGTGAGACAACTTTTGATTCGCAAAGAAATGGGAGAAGTTGAATAAAAAATAAAAAATGATTTAATTATACTTGCTAAAACAGCATATGCCAAATCTTTAAACTAAAGAAATGAGACATCCCTGCTAACAACATTCTTTAGCTAGTTAATTAATCATGGTTAGTTTGGTTTCTTGGACCCTTATTGAAATAAGAATATGGGATTGAAAATCAAATGATCCTGTCTGTAATTATATATTTATTTTCACTAATGAAAGCAACGCGAATTCCAGAGTCATGACTTTGTGTAAATTAGCAGCATATATTATGCATGAGCCCAAGCAAATAAGCAGCTTGCCTAACCTGCATGTTTCTTCATCAATAATAATATTTCCCTCTAAGTTGTTTTATGCATGTTTCTTACTCATATTCACCTAATTCGAGTATAATTAATATATTGATTATTTTCCCTCTCTCTATTTATAGCTCTTTCTAACCTGCATGCTTCCAAGTTAAGCAGTCATATATACTTTGATCTCTTTTCTTCATACACACACAAAGTAAACTAGCTAGCCGAGCTGTATGTCTCTTTAGTTTGTCTCTTGGTTGTCCTCATGGTTATTTGGTCCTCAAGACCTTTAGGCTTCTTGATTAATTACTTTGACGGTTAGTGGAGAAAAAGTTATTGGGCGCACGTTAGCGCGGGCGGAGTGGACCAATTGAGCAGTTATAGTTGAGCGCCACTTTGCACGTTATCTAAACACTGAATTGAAGACGTACAGAGATCGAGCTTGAAATGTCACATCATGGGATCGGCTCCATCATAGCACAATATTGTTCGCTTTGAGCCCCTCTCTCTGCCCTCATGGTTTTGTTTCTAAGAACTCACAAGCAACTTCCCAGTGGGTCACCCATCCTAAGATTGCTCTAGTCTCAACTTGCTTAACTTCGGAATTCCCATGACTCCGAAGTTGAAGAGCTCCTAAAGATCTCGTGCTAGATGGAGGTGGACATGTACATATAAGGCACATCACCCCCTCTCCGTTGGTCGATGTGGGATGTTATATGAAATATATATAAAAAAATCTTACATTTTTAGCGGATTGCAAATATATTGGAGGGTTTAGGGAAGAAAAAAATGAATTTACAAATTACGACACACTTTACTATATTTTTAAGGCGTGCTTTGTCATTTACCATAAACATGAATTATTAACAACACGAATAAAAAGCGTGCCATTAATATCAAGTTGTATAAGCTTCAATTTGGTGCAGTGCTTGTAAGATACATATATCACAGGATGAATTTCCAACTTATGGATGGGAGGAATTTGGATGAATTTCTTCTTTAATTGTATCCTAAGTTGAAAGGTAATTTTTCAGACCAAAAAGAAAAAAAAATTTGAAAGGTAATTTTGTTATTATCAAACCATCGCGTATTTGGGCCAGTTTTCGGAAAAATAGAAAGGTATGATTTTGCGTGTGTGCATTTGATGGGCCAGTTTTTAATTGACAATGGGACCAAAAGTCTCCAAACGAAACAGCAAATTAACAAAGTGATGAGGGATTCACTGAGACTCCCATGTTCTCAGCTTACGACCGCTAATCTCTCCTAAGCCGCCGTAAAAGATTATACGAATTTTAGACCGCCTTCACATTCTTCTTCTCTATTTATACTTTTCCGAGCCTACATGCTTCTCCATCCCAAAATCTTCTAAGCACCTTTAGAAATCTCTCTCGGTCTCACTCTCTCTCTCTCTGTTTTTATACACTCCAAACAAACATCATGAAAGGATTCAAGGTTTTTCTAATCCTTGCCGTGCTCATAGCTTCAGCCATCACTACTCTCTCCGCAATGCCAGACGAAGAAGAATCATTCTTCAACGAGGAAAACAATACTGATGCAAAGGACGAAACCAAGAACCAGTTTGGAAAAAGCACTTCCCTAAGAAGCCGCTTGCTTGCCTACGGGCCGCCTGCCACAACTTGCGACAAAAACCCTAAGGTTTGTCAGGCGTCGGGCAGCGCAGGGCCGGATTGCTGCAACAAGAAATGCGTGGACACAAACACAGACAGAGCAAACTGCGGCAAGTGTGGGAGGAAATGCAATTACTCAGAGATTTGCTGCAAAGGTAAGTGTGTGGATCCGAACTCGGACAACGAAAACTGCGGCAGCTGCAACAACACGTGCAAGAAAGGCACTTCATGTGCGTATGGAATGTGTAGCTATGCATGAACACTAATTATCATGACGCACCAGATAGATCACTGCTACTGGATCGATAAGGAATAAGGATATTGCAATATTAATTGCGCAGCTATACTTTTATACATGAAAATAATTTATAAGGACCCTTGAAATAAGAATATGGGATTGTGATCTGTAATCATATATTTATTTTCACTAATGATAGCAACACGAATTCCAGAGTCATGACTTTGTGTTAATTAGCAGCATATTATGCATGAGCCCAAGCAAATAAGCAGCTTGCCTAACCTGCATGTTTCTTCATCAATAATAATCATTCTCTCTAAGTTGTTCTATGCATGTCTCTTGTTCATATTCACCTAATTCGAGTATAATCATTCTCTCTAAGTTGTTTTATTACATGATGATGAAATCTCTCCAAGTTTTCTTTATGATAGCCATGCTCATTATGGCTTTAGCCATTACTCTCTCTACAACGGTACCAAACCAAAGAGAAGCATTCTTCAGGCCAGGATCGTCAACAAGCCGGTTCCTTGCCTCTCAGTTGTCTCCAGGTCGGGGTGGATGCGACCAAAATCCTCTTGCTTGTAAAGCCACTGAAGGCAGTGCCGGGCCAGATTGCTGCAGCAAAAAATGTGTGGATTTGACATATCCAACTGTGGTTCTTGTGGGAAGAGATGCATCAGCTCAGAGATATGCTGCAACGCTCATTGTATGAATCCAATGTCTCACAATCAAAACTGTGGCAAGTGCTCCAACCACTGCAAGAAAGGCGCTTCTTGGGACAATGGAATGTGCGACTATGCATAGAAATATTATATATATATAATATCTCCCCAGATCTACTTATTCTCAATAAAGATCAAATGACATATATATATATGCATGTGCATATGAATATATATATATATATATATACATATATACATATTGATCCATCTATATTTATTACTTCAGTCATTTAAGTATTTAATTGTATGTTGTTTTTAAGTGATCATGTAAACTACAATATTTGAACTTTTAGATATAAAACGCATTTATTTGCTTCTTGAAAAGGCCTTTAATCTTTAATTTGACACTTCTTTTTCTTCTTCTTTTTCCCGATCCATCTATATTCAGTACAGTACTATTGTATAATTGAGAGAGAGAGAGAGAGAGAGAGAGAGAGAGTTCACGTATACATTATTAACTGGACTTTTAATCACGATGGCATTGGCAATGCAAAGAGGCCATACTGTTTATTAACGTTTAGGCCCATAACAATGCAAAGAAATATGGCTTCTAAGTTCTAAGAGTCAGTTTGGCATTGTTGTGCTTTAAAAAAAAAAATTTGTTTTTGTTGTGCCGTGAATAATCAATTATGAAATAAAGCAATTAGATGTTTGATAAATGGTATTTGAAAAAGTGATTTGAGTATTCAAAGTATTTGGTAAATTTGTATCAAAAGTGCTTTTATTATGTATAATGACAAAAAATGACATGATAATAAAAATATTAAAAAAAAAAATAAAAAAAACACACCACACATATACTTATCATTTTTTTAAAGAACATTATTTTAATCTACACTTGTCACATTTAAATTAATTAAAAATAATAAGAAACAAAAAAGTTCATATTAAATCAAAAAAAATAAAGTCAGAACAGTAAATTTTGAAGTCCATCCACCTCCAGCTCATGTTGATCACTGTAGCCACTGATTTCTGTTTGGTCCACAAAGTACTCTTGAGTATTATAACGATAAGCATTAATAACTATCTTGGAAACATCCAAACTTATGCCGAGAACATGGGAACATTATCACCGTCATCATTGTCATGAGTGCCAACATGAGGATGAGGATGGTGGTGGTTGCAGGCATCTTGCAACAACTTTGATCCAGGCAACCTAAATCCTCACTCAGCTTTAGAGTTTGAAGGTGAAAAAGGAATGGAAGTAGGGGAGGGCACTAATCTGGATTGGATGTTTACAGGATAGTTAATGCTTATGTTTACAGGAGGTGGATGGACTTTAAAACTGTGGTTCTTGTGGGAAGCGATGCAGCAGCTCAGAGATATGCTGCAACGCGCATTGTGTGAACCCACAATCAAAACTGTGGCAAGTGCTCCAACCACCGCAAGGAAGGCACTTCTCTTGTGACAATGGGATGTGCGACTATGCATAGAAATATCATGTACCCCCAGATCAACAATTCTTCTCAATAAGGATCACGTGACATATAGCATGTGTGCATTGGTCCAGCTATGTATTACTTTATTGATTTATGTATTTAATTGCATGTTTTTCTCAAAGTATACAACTTGGAATGGGTTAGATTAATTTAAGGATATGATTTTGCGTCTTGACCGCTAATCGCTCTATGAGTAGAGAATACTAACGCCCATTTGTGACAAAAAGATCCAAAAGGTTCTAGAAGAATCATTATTAATATGACTAACTTGGTAGAAGAGCCTAAACTATTGGAGAAGCTTACATGTCGGCAAAACCAATGTGAACTTTGGAGAATTATCTAGTGAAAGCCACACACTAGTGGCTGGAGTAAAAAGACCAAGTCGGTGGACTTGGTGATGTCGGCTACTCTCATCTATGAAAAGACTTATAGCCTTCCCAAGCAAAGTGGAGTCATCCCCCAACTCCCAATCTATGGGGAGTCCCATGAAAAGAACTCCGAAATTATAAGGGAGCCAAGAGCTACCCAAATAAAGTTATGTTGAGGAGCCAATAAGCTCACTAATCTAAGTATAAGGGCCAAATAGCCCAAACTAATCTAAACTAGGTGTGGTGGTAGCCAATAAGCCAAAATAAAGATTTAGCCCACACCAAGCCATGTATTATTCTCCTCAATCTAATAAAATCACTTTGTTTCCCTTACAATCTAATATTTTTATGTCTTTTTTCCATGAGTTTACTCGACATAAGATAAATATTTCTCCTAAGCCACCCCAAAATCTTATATGCTCTCTCTCTCTCTCTCTCTCTCTCCTTCCCATTGTAATATAAATTATTATCCCTGAGATTTTTCTAAATAAAATTGTATATTTCGGTAGACATAGTCGGCATTGATGATCGATCAGAGCAGCATATAATATATATATATATATATAGAATTAGAAAGTCAACCAACCCAATTAGCTCGTGCAACCACGTTTGTAGCAGTCCAAATAAGATTTTAACAATCAACTAAATTAACAGAAACAAAAGCACTCCTAAATCGTGTGCACCATCTTCTCTTCTCATTAATTATCAACCACTATTTAATTTTCTCTCTATATATCCTCCTAATTGTGTTCCTTGTCTTGATCACCCCCATAGTAATTACTAATTAGTTAAGCCATGGCCTCCTTATCCCCTCTCATATTGCTCTCATGTTTTCTAACTTACTACATTGCTCCAACATCTCAAGCCTATTCACCGGGCTACTACACCACCACCCCCAAAACCACCATGAACGTAGTAGACTCATGTTGGCGCTCCAAGTCCAATTGGGCCACTAACCACCGCGCTTTGGCCAACTGTGTAGTAGGCTTTGGCCAAGACGCGGTGGGAGGAAAATATGGGAGTACTTACGTTGTCACCACCTCATACGATGACCCCATAAACCCTCAACCTGGCTCACTCCGTTACGGGGTGATCCAAACGCAGCCACTGTGGATCGTCTTTGCCAAGGACATGGTGATCACACTAAAAAATGAGCTCATTATGAACAGCTTTAAAACCATAGATGGTCGAGGAGCTAAAGTGGAAATTGCCTACGGACCATGCATAACGGTGCAGGGCGTTAGCCATGTGATTATACATGGAATAAGTATTCATGATTGTAAGCCAGGGAAGGGTGGAAATGTTAGGAGCACCCCTACACATGTAGGGCACCGGCGAGGATGCGATGGAGATGGCATTAGTATCTTTGCTTCTTCGCATGTTTGGGTTGACCATTGCTTCCTAGCACGTAGCAGCGATGGCCTCATTGATGTCACCCATGCTTCCACCGCCGTCACCATCACTAACAACTATTTCTCTCAGCATGATAAGGTAACCGTACACAAATTATCTTAAATACATATTAGTTTGATCTATAAAATAACCAAGTTGTGGCTTTTCAGGTGATGCTGCTTGGACACAATGATAATTTTAGTGCAGATAAAGGTATGAAAGTCACAATAGCCTTTAACCGTTTTGGGGCTGGCCTGATTGAAAGGATGCCACGGTGAGGGGGAGCTAGCTTAGTACTATATATACATTTTTTTTTACAAGCGGCAGTCTGAACTACTCTAAGAATGAATTCAAATTATTATAATATAAAAGAAGAATATATATATATATATATATATCTTATGTTATTGTTTTTGTTGTGTGAAAAAAAAAACAGGGTGAGGTTTGGGTATGCTCATGTGGCCAACAATAGATATGACGAGTGGAAGATGTACGCGGTTGGAGGCAGCGCTAACCCGACCATTTTCAGTGAAGGGAACTACTTCATAGCGCCTGATACTGCTTACGCAAAACAGGTTACAAAGAGAGAGTCTGGAGGACGTTGGAATAATTGGAAATGGAGATCTTCCAGGGATGTGTTCAAAAATGGTGCTTTTTTTGTTCAATCTGGATATGGAAGCTGTTACCCACTTTACTCTAAAACTCAGTCGTTTAAGGTCCTAGACGGATCCATGGTTCCTGCTTTAACTTCAAGTGCAGGTCCTCTGCGCTGCTTTGTTGGTAAAGCATGTTAATTTGCTTTACGTACGTACGGTACCACACACATATATATATATATATATATCTCTCTATATATAGAGACAGAGAGAGAGAGAGCTTTTTCCACCTTTAAGTTTTGTGTAATATTAATTGAAGTTGCATCTATGGATCTAATAGATCTATTATCAATCGTCTGCAAGTCATCCAAATGTGTTCCTATACACAATTGAGAGATGGTACTAGTTAAATATTATATCTAGATTAAGAAATTAATTAAACTCCTCTTTTTTTGTAATTAGTAATAATAATATATAGAGAACATGATGATGTGCCTCCCCAGTGGTATCATTGGCTGTTGTATAAACAGGGGAAAGAATTAAGAGACAGCAAGCATGTTGATGATGTTCAAAAAGCCCAAATTTAAAATATCAAAATCATCAGAAAAGATGAACTAATAGTCTTTAGAAAAGCCTATTCTCATTGCTTTGAACCCCACATGTCACTGGTGCTTTAGCTTTCACTTTCTTCAAGTACCAAATTCCAGCCCCAACTCCGAAGGCTCCTACAACCGACACTCCAGTAACAGTCCCTGTACCCGTTACCAGACATATACATATACATATATATATGCAACTTATTAGCTCCTTCAACTTCAATAACATATATCAAATAACAAAAATATTGCAGAGAATTATCAATTACCTGCAATTACACTATTCCTCCTATGCTGAGAAATGCTATGATCTGCACAATTGTAATTAAATCGTCAAAAAAATCATAGACTTATAAGAGAAGGGAAAAGCAGGTCAGACAAATTAATGCCTCAAACTTATATAACTACCTTTACAATAAGTAGTCACGTTGCCCCGGTCACATAAGCACAAGAAATTCTGCGTTGAGGTGTCGAATCCACACATCCCACCACCTTTGGATGTGTCCTGACACTGAAGGCAACGGGTGGTCACCGGAATATCAAAATCTACCCGAATCCCGTATTCGGGGACTTGATCATCAGGCTGGTTTTCCCCA